AATACTGAAGGAAAGCAAAATAATTCCAAATCATCTGTTTCCAAATTGTATAACCAGTTATTTCAGACTGCGCAGTTGGCCATGGGGAAGCCAGCCTCCTTAACCACCATGCCACTGGCTGGCCCAGCAGTTGTCTTTTTAAACCCAAGTGTAAGAATTTATGACTATTCCTATTAAATTTCATTCAAAAATAATTTGGGGATTATTATAGTAGGAATTCATTTTTTAGATTGTCCCTATGCACAAGATCGTTTTGGATCTTCATTCTATTAACATCGTTCTGCTAGAATCAGAGTCATGCGCACTGCAGTGAGTCTTCCCATCGACACATCACCGAGAAAAATCATACACAGGACAGAGTCTGAAAAGAGTCCTGCAGTACATCAGAAATCTCCCTGAAGTTCAGAGATTCTCGAATTTCGATGTGTACACAAATTGTCAAGGAGCTTCTATGCCCTACCGAGAGACTCTGATTTAGAAGGTCACAGACAAGGCCCTGCAATGTTTTCGACTCCTTCCCCCAGTGAGCTTCACGTGGTTGATCTGCACACCACATTTGGAGAAACACTGTCCAGCTCGACACTAGACTTTGAGCAGCTCCTTTTGGCCAAGGCTACTCTGACACAACCCAGCCAGTTATCTTCACGGCCTGCTCATATTTCCTGCTACTTTCAGGAAGTTTCCATGAGGAAGAAACCTGGTCAAACGACTTGCTGAATTCCAGTTATGCTGGCGCCACTGTATTTCCCTGCTCTACCAGTCCTGCTAGCCCATAAAAGGAAGAAATAATGCAGGCCCGATTTGCTTTTCAGCAAGCCTGTTCAGCGAGTTGACAACCAATTCTTCCTTATGTCCACAATTTACTTCTTTAGTTCCTAACTTAGAGTCTTGCCAGAGTTTTAGGGTTAAGCTCACCAGGTGGTAGTTAAGAGAACCAACTTTCTTCACCTTTGGAAGATTGGAACTGCCCTGTCTTTAGCCATTTGGAAAATCTATCTTTTAAGAGCTCTCAAAGATAATGGACAGCTGTAAAGGTTTTCCGAATCTATCCTGGAATGTAATTCAGCCAGGCCTGAACATTAGAACCCCTTTAGAGAAGCTTCACCATGTGAGAATTTCATTCTCTCTACCAGTGATCGTTCTGCCCCTTTCAGCTTGAAGATCATTTTCCTTGACAAAAAGGCAGAAGCAAAATAGGATTTTCAGAGTCCCGCTTTTTTATATCATCCATCAGCATTATATCATCAAGTTCCGAATAGCAGCTCCATCCTTCTTTTCATCTTTTTCTTCTCTAAATGTAACTTGAAGTACTCCAAATCTTTCTTAGCAATTCTCGCAAGCTTCTAGTCATTAGTGGCTTTAGTTTTCTGATTGTTTTTCTTATAGGTGTAAGCCTCCTTATATTTGCACTCATTTTTCTTTTCAAGTTGTGCTATAGGGTGCACGCACTTGTGAGAGAGAGACAGAAAGTAAGAAAGCACCCGACGTGGAGAGTGAAAATGAGAAAATACTCCTATGCCACAATCCCTTCTCCTCCGTTCTTCTCTCAGTATTTTATTATTATTATTATTGTTGTTGTTGTTGTTATTTTGGAGAGGTTTTTGCTATAGGGCGCGTGCGCTCGCCAGCAAGACAGAGAGAGCCAGAGAGACAGAAGGTGAGAAATCACCAACCGGGGGGATGGCCATGCCGCAATCCCTTCTCCTCCATTCTCCTCTCGGGATCCTGGGCACATACGCACACACACCTGGCATGATTTTTAAGCCACCGGGTCTGGGACTTGAACCACGGTCGACTACATAGGAGTCCAGTGACATAGCCATTACGTCAACTGCTGGTCCCATTCAGACTTTAATTTAAGCCAAATTATTCCAACCAATAAATGAAAGTTTTGGGGGAAAAACACATCCCAATGAAGAAAAAGTGGAAGATCTTGTATTCTGTATCTCTGTTTCTCTCTATTGATATCGATATTTATACTTACGTGTTTTCACATATTTGACTGTTATTTTGGAAAATTTCACAAAGAATGGCTAGCCTATTGAATTCCTGGGCACCTATTACCCAACTCCAACAGTTAACTTTTTTTTTTTTTGCCAACCTGAGCTCAGTTTCAAAATAAATACAGGAAAAGTGAAGCTAAATTAGTGCAAAGGGGGCCAGTCAGTGAGATGGTGGTTAAGGTAGCTGAATCCCACATGGCTGACCACACTAGGTACATGTGCATACGTGCCTAAAATACTCAGAGAAGAGGGACCAGCAGTTGGCGTAATGGCTATGTCACTGGACTCCTATGTAGTCAACCGTGGTTCAAGTCCCGGACCCAGTGGCCTAAACTCACTGGAACGCACTGATCTAAAAGTCTTTGGCAATGAAATTAAACTAGAGAAACCAAAAGGAAAAGACAATAAGAAAGATTAGATGCATAATACTTTTGGCCAAAAAATCTTCCCCACAAAGTCACTCAGGATGACTTAAAGAAGTATTTGAAGATGCCATGGAGATCATAATAATCAGCAAAGGGACCAGCAGGTAGCGTAATGGCTATGTCGCTGGACTCCCACGTAGTTGACCGCAGTTCATGTCCTGGACCTGGTGGCTTAAACTCATGCCGGGCGCGTGTGCGTGCATGCCCAAGATCCCGAGAGGAGAATGGAGGAGAAGGGATTGCGGCGTGGCCATCCCCCCTGGGGGGTGATTTCTCGCTTTTTGTCTCGCTGTCTCTCTCTGTCTGTATGGCGAGCGCATGTGCCCTATGGCAAAAACCTCTCCAAAAAAAAATAATAATAATCAGCAAAGATGGAAAAACTAAACAGATTGCTTATGCTGAATTTAAGAGAGAAGCTGATGCAGAGAAAACCCTTGAAGAAAAGCAGGGAACAAGATCGACGAGCAGTCCATTTCTCTACACTACACTGGAGAGAAGGTCAAAATTAAGGCTGTAGAGGTGGAAAGAATAGCACTTGGAGTGGTGAATCAAAAACTGGTTCTGAGCAGCCTCTCCTACAATGCGACCGAAGAAACACTTCAGCAAGTATTTGAGAAGGCAACTTTTATCAAAGTGCCTCAGAGCCAAAATCTAAAGAGTATGCATTTATAGAATTTGCTTCATTTGAAGACGCTTAAGAAGCTTTAAATCCTGTAATAAAAGGGAAATTGAAGGCAGAGCAATCAGGCTGGAGTTACAAGTACCCAGGGGATCACCTAATGCAAGAAGTCAGCCCTCCAAAGCTCTGTCAAAGGTCTGCCTGACGATACCATGGAAGAGACAGCTCTGTTCCTGCAAGGATAGTCACTGATCGGGAAACAGGATCCTCCAAAGGGTTTGGTTTTATAGACTTCAACAGTGAGGAAGATGCCAAAGCTGCCAAGGAGGCCATGGAAGGTGGTGAAATTGATGGAAACAAAGTGACCTTGGACTGGGCCAAGTCTAAGGGTGAAGGTGGCTTCGAAGTTCGTGGTGGACGTAAAGGAGGTTTGGAGGCCGAGGTGGAGGCAGAGGTGGATTTGGTGGCAGAGGCCGAGGAGGCTTTGGAGGGCGAGGTGGCTTCCGAAGAGGCAGAGGAGGAGGAGGAGACCACAAGCCACAAGGAAAGAACAACTCTGAATAGACTCTCTGTCTCTCTGTCTTCCCTCTTCCATTTGAAAGAAAGGACTCAGGGGTTTTTATTCTGTTACCTGCTCACTGACAGAGCCTTCTGAGGACATTCCAAGACAGTGTGCAACCCTGTGGTCTACTTGGTAAGTCGTAGAAATAACGTTTCAAGGGAGATACTCTTGTTGGTTTTGACTGGATGTTCATATAAACTTTTTAAAGAGATGAGCGATAGAGCTAAGCCTTATCTGTAAGTTTTGAATTTATATTGTTTCATCCCATGTACAAAACCATTTCTTTCCTTACACACAGGGGTTTGGTTTGGTTTTGCTTGCTTGTTTGTTTTTGTGTTGGGGAACTGAAAAGGAAAGCAGAATGTTTTATCATGATTTTTGCTTCGATGACTTTAGGACAAATTTTAAAAAGTCCTAGACTCTGAAAAAAAAATTTTTTAAAGTGATGTAAGATGTCATGTGCTGGTAATGCTTTGGGATTCTTAGGGAAAAGACAATTCATATATATAAATCAGTATGTTCAGAAGCCATGGATATAATTTGAGACTGCAGAAGTTTTTCACTGGATCTCACTTAACAGTGTTAACAAAGATACTTTTATGGCTTTTTTTGGGTCATTTTTGACACTGTTACTTTCACTTAACAAAGAAAAAAATTAAAATAAGCATGAGGTTATTTCTCTCCCTTTTATTATTTACTAAAAGAAATGCCACCTTTTATATTGTACTTCAGAGAATAAGAAGGTTCTTCATCATTGAAATGACTCTATGCTAGGACTACTATAAAATGCACATATTTCTGCCTTAAAAGATTTTGGGAGTCCAGGGACCAGCAGTTAGCGTAATGGCTATGTCGCTGGACTCCCATGTAGTCAACCGCGATTCGCATCCTGGACCCGGTGGCTTAAAACTCACGCTGGGTGCGTGTGCATGCGTGCCCAAGATCCCAAGAGGAGAATGGAGGAGAAGGGATTGTGGCGTGGCCATCTCCCCTGGGGGGTGATTTCTCGATTTCTATCTCTCTGTCTCTGTCTGGTGAGCGCACGCACCCTATAGCAAAAAAAAGAAAAAAGATTTTGGGAGTCCAGGTCAAATCATTCTTTATCACACCTTACACAGAGCTAATGCTTAATAAATGTCCATTCCTGAAATAAAACTTTTAAGAAAGATGGCAGTCCTGGGATAGATAAACTAACTTAAACTAGTCATTCTTTTTCATTCAAGTATTTATTGGTAGGCAAGTATTTATTGATCAGCAATAAACTAATCATTCAATAAGATACACAAAATATTTTTAAAAATGGAGTAAGGTACATTTCTATAATACATGCTATTTTTGGACAAATTCATAATGTGCATACATATATATCTTATGCGTGCACATGACCTTACCTCTCTTACAGATAGCTGTGGTGGGAAGGAGACTGAAAATACCAAGTTGGTGAATTCGAACCCAGAGGCCTCAACCTTTTGGCACACCTAAAAAAGTATTACAATTATGTAAATTCCCAGAAATTGCTGCACATGTAACTCTAATCTTCATAACATGAATTTCTGGTCTAGGAGATGACACTGGAAAACTTCCAAACTTCCACATTTGAGTGGGGAACCCTCTCAAACATTCTGAGATTAAATATTTGCTAACTATGACCCTGAAAGCTATTATCACGAAGTACTAAAACAATTGGGACTGGTAAATGTAGAGCAATCTGTAGAGTGTCCAATTATTCTCTATCATGGAACCTTGTGATTTAAGTGGGGGTTTTTGTTTGTTTGTCTTTCATAGAACATAAACAGTTTATTTAAAACTTTTCTGAAAGATAATGCAATAGTCAGGACAATTTTGAAAAAGAAAAATGAAGAAAAACCTTCCCTATGAATTACTAAAAAAAAAAAAAAAAAAAAGCCATAATCAAAGCAGATTGGGATTTGTAAAAGAAGAAATGAATAGATCAAAGCAACAGACGAGTCTCAAAATAACATGCATGTACACGTGGGGATTTACTATATTAAGGAGGGATTTACAGTCAGTTGGGAAAAAACTGATTTTTAGGAAAAATGGCTACCCATTCATATAAAAACAGAAGAAAAAGTGAAATCCTATCTTATATATGGAAATAATTATCAGATATTTTAATGAGCATTAAAAAAATCAGACAATATAAGAAAAGATTTTAATGACTTTTGAATGGGTACCACCTTCTTATGCAAAAACAAACAAACAAACAAACAAACAAAAAAAAACCTGGGTATTTTAAATCAAGAGACTGGTGGCCAGTAGGTAGCACAGTGGTTAGCTTGCTGGATTCCCACATGCCTAGCCAATATGTGTCATATATTTCAGAAAATTGTATTGTCATGAGAAACATAATTTTGAAAAATAATGGGCAAAATATATGGAAAGGACATATTAAGTGATGGTTAACTATTACATTATGGTACATGTAGACACAGGAATACCATGCTGACATTAAGGTAAAACAGAGCTACATATTGCAAGACTTTTACCTATATATTTTTTAACCTACAAAATCACTGAACAATATACACAGGTAATCTCATTTTCACAACAAAATAACACGATTGTGCACATATGAAATGTGGAAGGAATTGGGTTACATATGGTTGGGGAGAGGTCTCAGAAAGGCTTCATTTTCTTCTTTATTCATGGTTGTATCAAATGTGGTCCCCCCACCCCCCGTAAAATGAGGAGGACAACGTATTTTTTCAACAGAGTACAGTGCTTGCTTCTCTGCTACCTCTCGTTTGAGTGTGCATTCCAACCATGCTAGGGTGGCAGAGCACTTTCTTTTCTTTCACTTTCACGCCACTTGGTTTTCTTTACTACTGTTTCTCCCTTAGGATAACTTGTCTGAACTGTCTCCTATGGCCTAGGTTCCCACTGAGGGCGGAGTTTGCTTCTGCTCTCCCTGCCTCCGCCACCCACTCTCTCCGTGACTCTCTGGGAAGTTACCCAACTTCTCAATGACAAGGCGATGATGACACCCCACAAGAAAGCAGAGTGGAATTGGGCAACCAACAGCACAAGGATTCCTGCCACAGCCTCTCACGTGTCAGGTAGCAGGTTTCCCCCTGATTTAAGTGTTTTCAAATACAATAAAGTCAAATATAGCACCTGGACAGATGGAAACAAAGGGCAATCAATCCCACATTCAATCACTTACCTTCCACAAGGCTATAACATTTGTCTTTTCTAGACAATAATAGGTATAGCTAAGAAAGACATTTTCTCAACAAAAGGGGAAAAAAACTGCTATGTTTTTCTTCCACTGAATAGCATTAATGACTGAAATACATGATACATAAATCATTATTTTTCAGATCATGTTGATAAAAAGATAATTTAAGAATAGCAGGATTTTTTGTTTGTTTGGTTGGTTGGTTTTTTTTTAGAGGTTTTTGCTATAGGGTATGTATGCTTGCCAGAAAGACAGAGAGAGACAGGCAGAAAGCGAAAAATCACCCCCCGGGGTGATGGCCATGCCATAATCCCTTCTCCATTCTCCTCTCGGGATCTTGGGCACACATGCACACATGCCCGGCTTGAGTTTAAGCCACCGGGTCTGGGACTTAAACTGCAGTCAACTAAATGGGAGTCTAGTGACCTAGCCATTATTACGCCAACTGCTGGCCCCAGAGTTTTGCTTTTTTAAAAAATTGGAAAAATGTTTTAATGATCTATTAGTATAAAACAAGTTGAAATGAATACCATTTTCCTTTTAAACAATTCTAGGCTTTCAGTTTGAAAATCTCTATCTAATTGTATCTATAATGAAAAATAGATGATTTACCTTTTTAATGAATTCTTTTTCACAGAATTCTTGAAGAATCCCTAGACATATATTGCATACATTTAAATTTGAGTTCCCGGAAGTAATGCTTCCATCTTCAATCATGGAGACCTTTCCCTCGCCATTTTCACTCAGATTATCAACCCCATCTTCCAGTTCTTGCAGTCGGATCTTCTTGGAAGGTGGATTTGGAACTTCCAAAATTAATTCATCTTTTTCAGTTTCCAGAAACTTCTGCAGTTCACTGAGTAACTCCTATAAAGTTAATAAAAGAAAAAGTAGCAACCCTTTGACAATGCCCCTAAACGTCTCTAGGTAAGATGAAGCATGAACACACAAGTGAAAATTACGACACATTGCAGACTTGTGCAACGCTGATGTATATCAATTCTGGAACAATCAATTCATTTTAGTAACCGACGCTGGCTTTCCAAGGAGTTTAAAAGAAAATTACCCAACACCTATTAAATGTGTGAATATTTTTTCAAGAGTTCTATTTATCAGTGGAGCTAAAATCTGAGGTAGAAAGGCTCCACTGACAAATTTATTAACTTGGTTTATAGTTCTGTTGTGAAGATCATTCACTTGCTAATCTGAGTAAAAATGAACAGCAATTCTAATTTTTAAAAAAAATTTGCTGTAGGTTGTATGCACTTACCAGAGAGAGAGAGAGAGAGAGAGAGAAAGAGAGAGAGAAGAGAAGAAGAAGAAATGAGAAATAACTCCATGGGGGCAGGAGGAACGTACGCTGCAATCCCTTCTCCTCCAATCTCCTCTCAGGATTTTGGGCATGCACGTATGCACACACGTTTGGCATGGTTTTGAAACTGCCAGGTCCGGGACTTGACCGGCATGATCAGCCATGTGGGATCCAGCCACCTTAACCACCACGCCACTGGTTGGCCCCAATTCTAACTATTAACATATAAAAATACAGGTGCCAGCAGGTGGCAGGGTGGTTGAGGTGCTAGACTTCCCACATGGCTGACCATGGTTTGAGCCCTGGACGTGGCAAGTTGCTTTCTCACTTTCCCTCTTTCTCTCTGGTGAGCTCATGTGAAATAATTAATTAATTAATTCTTAAAAATATGTATATATAAAAATATAAACTAGGGACCAGCAGATGGAGTGACAATTACGTCGCTAGACTCCCACATTGTCGACCTCAGTTTAAGTTCCAGACCAGGAGACTTCAAACTCATGCCAGGGTGTGTGTGTGCCCAAAATCCCAAGAGGAGAATGGAGGAGAAAGGATGGTGTCATCACCCCCACCCGCCCCCCAGAAGGGGTGACTTCTTGCTTTCTGTCTCTCTGTCTCTGTCTCTCCAGTAAGTACACATGCCCTATAGCAAAAATCTGTCTCAAAAAAAAATACGACGGGCGCGGTGGTGCCCGCCCTATGGCAAAAATCTATGGAGGTTGGAGGATTGCAGCATCGAGGCCATCTCTCTCTCTCTCTCTGTCTCTCTCAACGCGCACGACTTTTTTGGGAACCAGCAGTTAGCGTAACGGCTATGTCGCTGGACTCCCACGTAGTCGACCGCGGTTCGTGTCCCGGACCCGTGGCTTAAAACTCACGCCAGGCGCGTGTGCGTGCGTGCCCAAGATCCCGAGAGGAGAATGGAGGAGAAGGGATTGCGGCGTGACCATCCCCCCTGGGGGGTGATTTCTCGCTTTCTGTCTCTACTGTCTGGCGAGCACACGCGCCCTACAGTGAAAATCTCTCCAAAAAAAAAAAAACATACAAATTAAATTTACATCCTTGCTAGGTTAATAGCCTCACAGTCACTTAAAACCTCATAAGTATACTTATTTAATATGAAATTTGATCATTAGAATAAAAGTTTATAAAGCATGGGGCCAGCAGGTAGTATGGTGGTTGAGGTGCTGAACTCCCAAATGGCCAACTGCAGTTCAAGTCCCAAACCTAGCAGCCTGAAAAATCACAACAAATAAATAGATAGAGGGGCCAGCAGGTGGCATGGTGGTTAAAGCACTGGACTCCCATATGGTTGACTGCAGTTCAAGTCCTGGACGTGGTGGCTTGCTTTCTCCATTTTTCTCTCTCTCTCTCTGTCTCTGGTGAGTGCATGAGCCCTATAGCAAACTTAAAAATAATAACAATGATAAATAAAATTCAATAAATAATTTTAAATAAACCAATGTTTAAAAAATTTTACGTCTATGAAAGAAAAATAATTTTAAGATAATTTACTATACAAACGTATACATTTGCTGGCAGTGCTGAAATTTGGTACCATAATTACAAACCATTTATATGTATTCATTACGTCCTTTACTACATTTTGATTTGCCTAATTTCTCTTTCCTTGCATTAGAATGTAAAAATTGACATTCCTTTGAAACTGTTCTCATAGTTCAGACACTCCGCTCATCTAAACACTCAGAGGGGCCAGTCATGGTGGTGCAGCAGTAATGTAGCTGAATGCTGAAGTCATGTGGAAAAATCCAGGTTCACTTCCCAAGATCTCCCAGTATGCACTAAAAGCACGTCCAGGCGCCCGTGACCCTGAGTAGCTGGGGATGGATCAGGGGATGAAGACCTTTTCAAAGGTGCCTGTCTCTACATCCCTCTTTGTCTCTCTCTTTCTCATAGAAGAAATAAATAAATCGAAATAATCAGAGAACTTCTCCTATCTTGTCCAAATTATGCAGGTTTTATTATTCAGTTGTTAAATATCCTTTTGAAATTCGGTTGGATTATAATCTACAAATTCTAAAGGGAAAGAAACTTTCACTCAAACAAATTTAATTCATTTTATTAAGACGTCAGCTCTCCTATTTTAACAGAGAAATACTCATACATACATATAGACAGAGATATATTATGACCCACACAAATAACTATGCATATTATTACCTAAGACCTACAATGTCAGTATAACTCCATGTATATATGTATGTGTACATATAGTTACATGAACAAAACACAGCAAAATTTAAAAACATTTCCAAAAAGCTGTCTTCAAATATTTTTATACATTTATTTATATAAAATGATACAAAGAAGTTGATAATATTCACTTTCTTTATATATGTTAAACCTTACAACATATGTGTAGAATAATAGACTATAAAGTGACTAAAGTGAAAAGGATATGTGAGGAAGTTATACAAAACAATTACTTTATAGTCACTTGTGTATAAATTAATATACACATATATATTATCAAATCATATGTACCATTTCCAGTTTTCAAAGTGTTTTTACATACTTTATTAGATATTGTCCCTTAAATTTCTGTGAGGTGGATGTTATCATTCCCATTTACAGAGGAGTAAAGTGAAGATGGAAAGTGGTAGAACTGAGATTCAAATCCATGTCTTCTAGTTCCAAATCCTAGGCTTTGGATTCAGACAGACTGTTCAAATCCTAGCTTGCTCACTTAATAGCTGTGTAACTTTGGGCAGGTTGCTTAACCTCTCTGTGCCTCAGTTTCTTCATCTGAAAATAGAGACAATCATAGTATGTCCTTACCTAATAGGTTATTATGAAGGTTATATGAGAGCTTGACATACAGTAGTTATATATGAATACTGGGTAATATTGCTTCCAAAATAATAGAAACAACTAGTTACATACAAAAATGACAAATATTACTAGCTCCTTGACAATTTTTTAAATGATAAGAACTGAGTATGCTTATGTGCTTGTACAAACACACAGACTGTTTATATATAGAGATAGATTTGCATATATATTACTCTTCTGAAAAGAATGTTCCTATTAGAATTAAACATATTTCACAAATATATCTTATATAATTTATGTGAAAGTATACTTTATGTGAAAGTATTAAATGTCAAAGCTCTCTGAACATTACTGTGTCAAAGACCTCTGTATATTGCTTTTGTTGTTATTAATAGCAGTAATAATAATAAGCATTTACTTCTAGAGGGTTCCAAATACCTGATTAAAGTACAAGTGGCAATATAGAAAACACACACAAAAGAGGAAAGAAACAGGCAACCAAACCCATCAAGCTTCTTCACCCATCTCAGGACTATCACCCCTCCTTGTCTCACCTAACCAACAACTAGTGAGAAGCACTATTTTGCAATATTCCGTTTAGATACCCTTTATGAAAGGTCTATACAAACATTAAATGCACTAGGAATTGTTCCACAAAGACCCTCTCATGCTAAATGCTAAGTACAATCACTAAAGAAGGACTTACATTTCTGAGATGAATTTTTTTTCAGGTAATGACAAGTCCCAAATCACCATTATCAGTAATTATTTTATTACAGTTAGAGTTATGGAAGTATACTTGCCTCAAAGGTATGGTATTTGTTTTAAAATATAGAGAGTCTTTCCTAACTAAAAAAAAAAAGGAAAATACCTTGTGTGGAAGTTTGTAGGGTGCGTGAACACCCACACCGCAGAATCTGAAGATACATCTTGGACAGGTGCCAGTGCTGAGCAGCATTCGGGCCACATGCTTGTTTTCCTCGGCCAGTGGAAACATACCGAATAACTGTTACTAGAAAGAAGGAAAAGTAAAACTAATGAGCAGCTTCAGTGTTTTATTGTCACGGACAAATATGTCATCACCTGTAGGGATTAAAAACTAGCTTCTACTGGGTCAGCCAGGTGGCATGGTGGTCAAGGCAGCTGAATCTCACGTGGCCAATTCCACAGTTTGAGTCCTGGACCCAGGGCCTCGAGAGACACACTGTGTGTGTGTGCATGTGTGTTCAAAATGCTGAGAGGAGAATGGAGAGGGGATTGTGGAGTACTCATCCACCTGGGGATGATTTCTCAGTTTCTCTCTCTCTCTCTGACAAGAGCACATGTCCTCTAGCAAAAACTAAAACAATTTTCTACTTGAAAAACACCATTTCAGGGCCAACAGGTGGTGTGGTGGTTAAGGTGCTGGATCCTATAAGGCGGACTCCCAGGTTAAGTCCCGCACTTGGCAGCTTGAAAAAATGCCAGACGTATGTGTGTGCATGCCCAAAGTCTCTAGAGAAGAATAGAGAAGGAACTGTGGCATGGCCATCCCCCAGGGGCCAATTTCTCATTTTTCCTCTCTCTCTGTTTCTCTTCAGTGAGCGCAAGGTCCTTATAGAAAGAAAAAGAAAGAAAGAAAGAAAAATGCCATTTCATGATATACAATAGTATCCCTTTCATCCTATACATATTTTAAAATATAAACTTGAAGGAAGTTGATATGAGAGATCAGGTAAAGGTTTCTAATTGCCAAGGAACTTAATTTAGCATTGTGGATTTTGACAAAATTTACCAGTATAACTAAGTTCATGGGAAAAAAATTAAAATGATCAAGAATGGTTGCCTCTGAGAAGGGTAATAAAAACAAGGGAGAGCACAGAGCAAAATTTTGCGTTTTATTTTATGCCATTTGGTATTGTTTGAGAACACAAAGCAGTTCATTCATGCAACTTTTCCAACTAGAAATTAAAAGTTAGTTTTCTAAAAAAAAAAAAAAAAAAATCAGATTAGAGGCCAGTAGATGGCATGGAGATTAAGGTAGCTGGATCCCACATGGCCATAGCCTGGTCTGAGTTGTGGATCCAATGGTTTGCAAATCCTGCCACACGTATGTGTGTACCTGTCCAACATCTGGAGAGGAGAACGGAGAAGGGGTTGCAGAGCATGGCCATTCTCTCAGGGGAGTAATTTCTCACTTCCTTGCCCTCTGTCAAGTGCACATGCCCTATAGCCAACTCAAAAAAAAAAAAAAAAAAAAAGAAAGAAAGAAAGAAAAAAAAAAATCAGATCAGTCTACCTTACATAACCTTAATGATAGTTTAGTCAAAGTATTTTGTCAAAATACTTTAGCCAAGTATTTCAAACAAAGTGATCTGTAGGTCCAAAAAAGTCCACTTTACTTTGATGAAATAACTAATGGCAAGAGTAATTAGCAAATGAATAAATCTGCTCCCTTTATCCATAAGTCAAATCTCCAATAAAAATGAAGTACAGAATATTTAAGAGTAATTATTCACCTTTAAGTTGTCAATTTTTGCAACTCGAATAGACTCACTTAGGAAAAACTATTAAATAGAGAATGGGGAAAAACCAATGTAAGTATCCCAATGCCAAGAAAGAGGAGCACTAAAAAGTAGATTACCTAATTACTCTCTGTTTTGCAAAAATAGATCTTGTGATTAGTGAATCCATCCACATGATTTTAAAATGAGGAAGTAGGGATATTTTATGAAACAATGGTTGCATGACAATGTGGCATGGTATAACTAGGGCCATCTAAATCAAAGACAATGGCACCTTTTATTTATTTTTTTTTTGAGAGGTTTTTGCTATAGGGCATGTGCCCTCACTAGAGAGACAGAAAGACAGAAAGCGAGAAATCACCCCTGGGGGGGGTCAGGGGGGCTGGTCATGTCACAATCCCTTCTCCTTCATTCTCCTCTCGGGATCTTGGGCACATATGCACATGCACCCAGTGTGAGTTTAAGTCACTGGGTCCGGGACTTGAACCACAGTTGACTACATGGGAATCCAGTGACATAGCCCTTACACCAACTGCTGATCCCGACAAGGGCACCTTTTTAATCTGTACAATTTCATAATTCAAATAAAGTTGCTGAATATTTGTAGGAGGGTAAAACCAACAGCCTACTATGAAGATGTGGTGCTTATAATCAGTCTGTGTTTTCCAACTCTTTAAACCCACTTTTTTAAAAAAAGTTTTTGCTATATGTACTCACTGGAGTAGTGGGGATAGAGAGAAAGAAATGAGAAATCACCTCTTGGGAGGATGGTCATGCCACAAACCCTTCTCCATTCTCCTCTTGGGATTTTGGGCACACACACCTGACACGTTTTTCAAGATGCAGGACCTGGGACTTGAACTGGGCAGTTGGCCGTGTGGGACCCAGGTGGCTTACATGCCACTGGCTGGCTCTAAACCCACTCTTTACTTGCTCATTTCTAAATGTTTGTAGCCACTTACCAAGAGATCCTTGACACAAAACAATGAAGAAGACAAGGTATATAAGTCTATGAAATTCTTCACCATAAAAAAAAATCAGTTCAGCAGCCAACACTAGAAAACATTCCTTTGGCTGGTTTCTATTTTAAGTGAATAAGTGTGTTAGCAGGACGAGGAAGAGACCAGATTAGTCTGGACACATCATGAGAATTTTCACACATCAGGACTGGAAAACCCTGATTTAGATTTGCCAAAACTCAGGCAAGGTATTTTTCAAGAAAGTCACCAAATATGCAAAGAACGTGCTTTAAATAATGAGCTCTGTATGGTAAAGTCATTATTATTTGCAAGCGACCTGAATCCCTTCCTCAAACTAGCTACCAATAGATGGTGAAAAAGGGCTGGGATTCTGTGAGAGACTGAATAAGCAGCTGCATTTCAAAATGCCTTCCTGACTGCTCTCTTCTCAGAAAACTGTTTCTGTCTGACTCATTATTTTAAACTAGTTTTTCCCTCTTTTCCATTAGTTAAAATCAAGGATTATATTAAATTCAGAATTAATCTTCAATTCAAAAAGGAAAGAAAAGAAACAAAAACATCCACCTCCAAAATACAAATCAATGGAAGTACTTTAAAGGGATACTTTGTAGTAAGGATTTCCCTGCTAATTTAAATAGCTACACTATATTAAAATGTATGTTTCCTTTCCTGTGTCTTAAAGACAGCATATTTATTTTTCCAATAAATTCGCTAGAATAAAGGTATTATGCAGTCAATAAATGATACAATATAATCTGGCTCTGAGAAGTTCCCAGACCTGTTGAAAATTACAAAACCTGCTCGGAGTAACCTCTCTGAAGAGGTCTTTAAAAACTTAAAGAAAAAAAAACCCTCTAGAGTGTGTGTGTGTGTGTGTGTGTGTGTGTGTGTGTGTGTGTGTTTTCATGTGTACATGCACGTGTTAATAATTTTAAGCTACTGATTTACAAACCTCTCAACATCAGTCTTACATAGCAACAATCTAGTGACTTCAACACGACAGCATTAAAAGGAGAAAATATACTATGACTTAAATTCGGTTGCTTCATCTTGATGAAATGAAATGATAAGATTTCATAAGGTATCGGAAACCAGTTGTTCCCTATTAGGTTTATTGTTTCAAAGCAAGCCCTGAGAACCGCATCCTACGCTGTAAATTTTCGGCTGTTCTCGCCGTTAAGATTTTTGCTTTTCGTTTACTCGCTTTACAGAACGAACTCTGGAACAAATAGTAATAGAACCACCTCCCATGTGTGATCGCTACGGTGACTGAAGCCCCTCTCCGTGAACGAACGATAACTAGCCCAATCTCTGCTTTCCCGGCGGAGAGGAATCACTTTCTCCCCATCTCCGCGAAGACTACCGAAAATGAATCGGCGTAGGGCGTGAGAAAAAAAAAAAATCAAAATGACCAGATTGAGTCTCACGGAGATCTTTGAAAACTCGTTTCCGTACAGAAGGGTGGCATTTGTCTCAGAGAGTGGGGGTGGGGTGTGGATTTCCAGGGGAGAAGACGCTCACAACTCCATTCAGCTACTAACACACTTAGTTACGGAATCTAACCCGGATCCTTGGAATGCTCATGCCAAGGTCTAGTCTCGAGTCTCTGTTTTGACCAAGCAAGCCCTAGCCCCCCTCAGTCAAGTCCAAGAAACTTCCATTCACCCCTCCTTGCTAACAAAGCCGCTCCAGATAGAGGGAACCCACCCTCTCTCCAGCCACCTCTCCCGCCTGGAGTCCGCCCCTCTTCACCTGAGACCTCCCAGCCTCACCTTCTCCCAAGACGCTGGAGCCTGAGATTTAACCCCTTCCGGCCCTCAGTGGAAATGGGGAAGACTAAAGACAACGCACCTACTGCGTCTAGCAATTCTGTTCCCCGAGGAAACAAGAGCTTTAGAACGAAAGTACCAGCCCCCTCTTGCAAGGGTTGAGTGAATTTCTCTTGCTAATTCGTAGGGAAATCAGTAAAGCTGCCCGGCTGGCCGCCTCACACCTTGCCTCCCCAACAAGTGCAAGAGTGTGTGGGTGACTGGAACGTGCCAGAGGGGTCTGGTCCCTAACTAAGAAGCCTCCGTGGGATTCCGGCCTCTAGGATAGTGTAGCCGCTGTCAGAAATATCGATGAGTCCTTACCCTCAGATTTAGAACAGAAACTCTTTCTAGAGCTAGAAAGAGAACGTTTTCCGCCACGAACTAGTGGCTCCTGCCGCCCTCTCACCCCAGCTGGCCAAGCACCAGAGGCACATCTTGGCCGCGGGGGTGGACGGAGCGGAGGGCTCGGCGTTCTGCCGGTTGTGCCTGGCGCTCTAGGTGTCGGCGGACCCGGGCCTGGAGAGTCCCTGAGAGCAGCGGGAGCCGAGCGGAGGCGGAGGAGATGGCGTCCCAGCCGCCTCCTCCACCTAAACCTTGGGAGACCCGCCGAATTCCCGGGGCCGGGCCGGGCCCGGGACCCGGCCCCACTTTCCAGTGAGTGCGGGCTTTGTCGGGCCGCGAGTTTGGTGGGTCGGAGTGGGGTCTGGGCAGGAGACCGTTGAGGCCGTTGGTGGGTGGAGGTCTCCCCTCCCCCCTTCGGCCACCCCCAACCTTGCAGGGTGGGGATGGTATCGTGGTGGGGCCCAGGCGCCTACCTAGGGACTTTCAGTATCTGACAGCTGTTTGCGATTGGGCTGCTGTCACTAGCGATGTTTTCCCGGGAATCCTGGGCGCCCCTCTGGGTCCTGGTGCTTTTGAAGAAAGGGGGCGTCTTCCTGGCTCTTTCTGATTGCGGGACACTTTGGCAGAACTACTCGACTACTTGTAAAGCTTTCGACTTTCAGCCCGTAGCAGCTGAGAGCGACATTTGCCTTGGTCGGTCATCGATAGGGAGCAAAGTCTTTCGTGAAAGCATTGAACCACTCGAGAAGTTGGTGAAAGCCTAAAAGGTCATTTTTACACAACTGGAACCCAAGCCTATACTTTGCGTTTTTGTTTCTTTCTTTCTCTCTTCCTTTCTCTCTCTCTTTCTTTCTGTATAAACTGATGTAGTAGTATTTGCGAGTGAGGCTTGGAGAAGCAATTTTAAAATTGGAGTTCTAAATCTGAGGTCTATGCATGGCCTTTGGTGCAAAATAGGAGTGTATTTATCGAAGACGTATTTTGGTTTTGGTTTTGTTTTTAATCTGTATAAACGAGTCTACAAGTTAAAAAGATTTAAAACATACAGAGTTGGGACCAGCAGATGGCGTAATGATTAAGTCGCTGGACTCACTTGTAATACACTGGTTGGCTGCTGGAACAAGGTGCTTAAAACACACCTGGCACCAAGTGAGTGCGTGCCCAAAATCGAGAGCAGGGTTTGGGGCGTGGCCATCCCTCCTGGGGAGTGATTTCTCCCTTTCTGTCTCTCTGGCATACACACATCCCTATAGCAAAAATCTCTCTTTTAGTGTAGATTGGATCTCGATATCTTAATTCAGATGGTATGACTTAATATTGTAAGTTGTCCTGACTCATAAAAATTTCCAGCATGTTATGATGTATTTCTGCTATGTTCTGAAGTCTTATAATGTTTCATTTAAAAGGTGTGACCACAACAACAACTTAATTTAATAATGATAGTGATACATAACAAGTAATAAGCTTTAATTATGCTGTTAAGTTGGGGTGACACTTTCTGCTACTTTTTTTATGAGTGGCTCTTTTATTATTATTATTATTTAGACTATTCATTGGAAGACAGAGGTTTTATTTTTGCATCTGTTAAGTTCTATCTATGTAAAAGTAACCATTTTCCCCTTGTAAATGTTATGAAATATGTTAAATATGTACCAATTGCAAGAGAATAAAGATGATTCCTGTGTATTCACCACCTAACTTTAGGAAATACTAACACTTGCCAGATTTGCATCAGATTCTTTTTTTTAAATAAAAGTTAGAGAAACAGTTAAATCCTCTCATGATTCTTTACAGCAGTAACTGCTGTATCTATTTAGTGTATTGTATCCAATTATATTTTTATATTTTACTACTTGTGTATTTTATCTCTGTAACTTAAAAACACATGCAAGAACTTCAAAAAGTTCATGAAAATGGAATTAAAAGACAAAAAATTAAAAATATATTGGACTGCAGCAAAAAATTAAAAAATATATTGGGCAGATGGCATAATGGTTACATTATTGGACTCCCATGTAGTCGACCATGGTTTGAGTCCCAAGCCCGACAGGTTAAAACTCATGCTGACATGTATGCATGCGTGCCAGAGATCCCAAGAGGAGAATGCAAGAGAAGGGATTGTGGTGTGGCCATCCCCCCTGGGGTTGATTTCTTGCTTTCAGTCTCTCTGTCTCTCCAGCAAGTGCACATGACCTATAGCAGAAGTCTGTCTGTCTCTCTCTCTCTCTCTCTCTCTCTCTCTCTCTCTCTCTCTCTCTCCTGTCCCATGGCCTGCTAACTAAGGGAGCTGGATCACACATGGCTGACTGAGTAATTCAGGTCCCAGCCCCAGTGGTTTAAAAGATACACTGGACAGAGATAGTCACATGTCCCAAATCCCAACATGATGGAAAAATGGAGGAGAAGGGATAGCAGCATGACCATGCCCCATTGTGGGGTGTTTTCATCTCCCTGTCTCTCTGGCAAGCACATGCACTCTCTGTCTAATTAAAAAATTAAAAATATAAACTTCATTCTTCAACATAAGATTAAGTTAAGACACTTTTATAAGGAATGAGACCAGCTATTTAGTTTATCTCCAAGGAACTACTGAGGGCCTGAGGAATTTAACTATGTCAGTACAGTCATTTTTATATAAACTGAAGAAAATTAGGTTCCCTGTAAAGATTTTTAAGATTAGGAAACAAAATGAAGTCAGAAGGAGCCAAATTAGAATTGTAAGGTGGAGGGGCCAGCAGTTGCAAGACTCCCACATGGACCTGGGGGCTTCAAACTCATGCCAGGTGCATGCAAATGTGTGCCCAAAATCCTGAGAGGAAAGTGAAAGAGAAGGGATTGTGGTGTGGCCATCCCCCACAGGATGTGATTTTTTACTTTCTGTCTCTGTGTGTCTCCCTGGCAAGCGCAAATGCCCTATAGCAAAAATTTCTCTTAAAAAAAGAAAAAGAAAAAAATTGGATGCCTAATGATTTTCTATCCAATCTCTGGCAAAATTGCCATTGTTTGATGAGATCAATGAGCCGGCGTATTGTCATGGTAGAAGATTCTGCTGAAGCTTTTTGCCAGAGCTTTAGCTAACTTTCCCACTCTCATAATAAGCACATGTTATTGTCCTTTGACCCTCCAGAAAGTCAACAAGCAAAATGCCTTGAGCATTCCACAGATCTGTGCCATGATCTTTGCCCTGGATTGGTCTGCTTTCGCTTTGAATAGGCCACTTCCAGTTCTTGGTAACATTGCCTTGATTCTGCTTTGTTGTCAGGCTTGTACTGGTAAAGCCTGTGAGCTCTCCTGTCCAATTCTTTGAAGAAATGCTTCAAGATCTTGATCCTGCTAGCTTAGAATTTCCACTGAAAACTCTGCTCTTATTTACAGCTAATCTGGGCACAAAGTTTGGCACACATCAAGGAGAATGTTTGCTCAACTTTTTCAGAGTTGTGTAAGCGGAACCAGCTGAGATGTTTGTGGTATTGGCTGCTGTTTTGCTGTGAATTGTCAGTCCTCTTCAGATAGAACACAAATAAAATTAATTTTTTGCAAATTGATGTGGTGTTCTGCCACTGTGGGCATCATCTTCAGCATCATCTTGTCTCTTCTTAAAATGAGTTATCTGGGCGAGCTGGTGGTGTAGTGGTTAAGGTTGATTTTTGCTTCTCTTTTTTTCCTTAATGAAAGAGAGAGACAGAGGTAAGTATCTTTGACAGGTCTCGTCGTACTGAAATCCTCTTGCCCCTGCCTCCCAGTTACTTGGAATTTAGGCACATGGCAGTACCTAGCCTGTTTTAGGTTGGTCTAGGACTGAAACTGGGCCTCCCATGTGGCCCCAGCCTCACGCAGTAATGTACCAACATGACTGGGTCTGCTTTTTGTTTTTGGAAGGTATTCTTTCAAACTTCTGTTCTTCTACCTTGCTCAGATTTTTATTATGAAGTATTAATTTTTTTGTTTTTGGAGAGATTTTTGCTATAGGACACATGAGCTTGCCAGAGAGATAGAAAGTGAAAAATCACCCCTTGCCCGGGGGGATGGCCACCCTGCACTCCCCTCTCCATTCTCCTCTCAGAATCTTGAGCATTCATGCATGTGCCTGGCACTAGTCGGGTCCAGGACTCGAACTGTGGTTGACTGTGTGGGAGTCCAGCGACGTAACCATTACGCCATCTGCTGGTCCCAGAAGTACTAAGTATCTATTGAGATAATTGTATATATTTTTTTCTTTAATATAAAGATGTGATTTTATTGCAGTAGTCATTGGTGCATTTCCACTTAGTTGTGACCTTTTTTTTTTTGAGAGGTTTTTGCTTAGGGCGCGTGCGCTCGCCAGACAGACAGACAGAGACCGAGAGACAGAAAGCGAGAAATCACCCCCCAGGGGGGATGACCACACCACAATCCCTTCTCCTCCATTCTCCTCTCGGGATCTTGGGCATACACGTACATGCTCCAAGCGTGAGTTTTAAGCCACCGGGTCTGGGATGCAAACCGCAGTCAACTACGTGGGAGTCCAGCGACATAGCCATTACGCTAACTGCTGGTCCCAGTTGTGACTTTTTTTTTAATTTGCCAGAAGGCACTTGTGCCTGCTGGAGAGAGAGGGAAATGAGAAAGCACCCTCCATGGGGCATGATCATGCCACAATCCCTTCTCCTCCATTTCTCCCTCCCTTCAGGATTTTGGATTTGTGCACACACATCCCTAGCACATTCTCAACCTTTCAAATTTGAGACTTGAACCCCTCAGTCAACCATGTGGCATTTAGCAACCTTAACCACCACTACATGGGCTAGCCCAATTATGACTTTTTTTCCCCCTTTTTTTAGGGCACATGAGCTCACCAAAGAGACAGAGAAAAGGAAAGTGAGAAATCACTCCTTTGGGGGTGATGGCCACACATTAATCCCTTCTCCTTTGTTCTCTCAGTATTTTGAGCACATACACATGTGCCCAGCATGATTTTCAAGCCACAAGGTCAGAGACTCTAATCATAGTTGGCCTGTGGGAGTCCAGCGTCTCAACCACCATGCCACCTGCCAGCACCCAGTTATGACTTTTTTTTAAAGAATTATTTTATTAACTTTATTTATTTGCCTTTATTCCTTTAAAAGTTGACTGTCTTCTTGTTAGTTGGTTCACAAGCTAGCCCTAGTCTACAGACCACAATTTGAGTTGCATGGTATTAAAATAAATTGAATTTGTAATTAAAAATTTCCCACTAAAAGAATTTTCAGGTCTGTGCAACTTTATTGGTAAATTTTATAAATGTTTAAGGAAGAAATAATTAAACTTTTCCAGAATGTGGAAAAAGAAGGAACTGCTTTGAGCTCCTTTTAAGAGGCCCGTATAACCGTAATGCTCAAATATGAGAAAACTATTACAATAATAGAAAATTAGTATATATTCTCATTTATAAACATAAATACAAAAAGTCTTCAACTAAATACTGGTAAACCAAATCCAGCAATATATTGTGGCCTACTTGGTTTTACTCCAAGAATGCAGGGTGGCTTTAACATCCGAAAATTAATGTAGTTAACGATATGAGGAGAATAAAGGAGAAACACTCATCTTGATCAATGCTGAGAAATCACTAGATAAAGTTCAGCATTCATTCACAGTAGAAATTCTTAGCAAATAGCAATAGAAAAGGAACTACTAAATCTGCAGCAAACCTACATCAAACATCGTAATTCATAGTGACATGTTGAAAACTTGCCCTCTGAAATCAGGAATGAGGCGTGGATGCTTGCTATCATCACTTCTGTTCAGGATTATACTTCAGGTCCTAGATTAATAGGACCTTAATGATCAAACAGTAAAAGGAAGAAATAAACCTATCATTATTTATATTCAGTGTGGCTACAAATCTGTCATTCTAGAAAATTCAAAAGAAGAATCCAAAATAAGGTTACTGAATACCAGGACCATTTTGTGTGTGTGTGTGTGTGTGTACATCAGCAACAACGTGATTTTAAAAAGACACCAATAACAGACTGGCTTCCTGGTACAACAGCAATGTGCTATTCAAGAGAAATGGGATCCTGCATGACAACAATGGAATTCCTGGCTAGTCAGCCTGAAAAACACACCTGGCATACTGGGTTTCCAGAACTGTGCATGAGTGCCCAAGATCTGACAGGCTGGAGGAATGGAAGAAGGGGGTCATGGCATGATCAGGCCTTATGAAGTGTGTTCGTCTCTTTCACACACTTTCGTATGCACACATATTCTTATCATGAATAAACAAACAAACAAAAAGACGCCATTAAGAATTTTTTATATAATTTTATTATTTATTGTTAGTATTTTTTTACTTGACTGGAGAGAGACACAGAGAGAGAGAAGAAGAAAGCCACGAAGTCTGAGATGCAGACTGTGTTTGGCCATGTAGGAGACCAGTGCCTTAACTACCACACCACCTGCTGGTCCTGGACTAGCCCTATTTAAAAAAAAAAAAAAAAAAAAAAATTGAGGGGTCAGTAGGTGACATAATGGTTACATTGCTGGACTCTCACTTAGTCAACTGTGGTTCGAGTCCTGGACCCAGCAGCTTAAAACTCACTCTGGACACATGTACGTGCATGCCCAAAATCCCAAGAGGGAAATAGAGAAGAGACTGTGGTGTGGCCATTGCCATCGGGGGTGGGGGGGAAGGAGGAGGTAAGTTCTTGCTTTCTGTCTCTCTATCTTTCTGGTGAGTACATGCATCCTTTAGCAAAAGAAAACTCTCTAAACACACACACACACCCAAAAAAATACTCTTTAAAAAAAAAAAAACACCTAACTGCAAAGGCCAGCCACAGCACAGGGGATTAAGCTCTGTGCATAGAGAGCTATATCCTCCATGGCCAATCAAGGTTCAAATTCTGGCCCTGCAGCTTGAAAAACATGCCAGGCATGTGTGCATGCACATGTACCCCAAATCCTGTTGAATGTGCATTTGGAGGAAGATGGGTTATGACATGACCAAGCACCATTGGGGGGTTACTTTCTCTTTATCTTTCTCTCTCTTGTTCTGGCTCACCCTCTGGTGAGCACCATGCCCTCTTAAAATTTTTACTTATTTAATTTTTTTTAGGGCAAGTAGGTGGCGTGGTGGTTAAGGTGCTTGATCCCATGTGCAGTTTGAGTCCTGGACCCCTGTGTCTTGAAAATCACACTGGTCACGTATGCGTACATGCCCGAAGTCCCTAGAGGAGAATGGGGAAGGGATTGCAAGCCTGTTCATCCCCCCGGGGGAGGATTTCTCGCTTTCCCTTTCTCTGTCTTGCTTAGTCTCTCTCCAGAGAGCACATGCAAAAATCATTTTAAAAAATAAATTAACTTTGAGAAAAATCTTTTCAAGACCTGAATAAGTGGAACATTTATTGTACAAGTTAGTAGATAGAAATTCAATATTATGAAGATGTTGATTTACCTCATTTTGATGTAACCCCAAACAGAATCTCAGTAGGGTTGTTTCGGGAGGAGGGATATAGACGTTGAAGCTCTGATTATAAAAGTTATATGTAAGTGCATAGTCAAATAGCCAAAATGCTCTTGAAGATGAAGAGCAGTGTGGGAAGACTTGTTTTTATTGTATTAATATCAAGTTGAAACCAACCTTGACAAAATGGACAAGTGCCTTACAGAAACCTCAGGTCAAAGATAACACTTTTTAATTGCCAGAGGATGTGTGCGCTTTCCGGAGAGAGGAGCAAGCATCCCGTAATGGAGTATGATCATGCCACAATCCCTTCTCCTCACTTTTTCTATCCTGTCAGGATTTTGGACACACGCACACATGAACCTAGCATGTTTTTCAAACCAACAGGACCAAAATTTTTTTTTTTTTTTTTGGAGAGGTTTTTTCGCTATAGGGCGCGTGCGCTCGCCAGACAGAGAGAGACATAGAGACAGAAAGCGAGAAATCACCCCCTGGGGGGGATGGTCACGCCGCAATCCCTTCTCCTCCATTCTCCTCTCGGGATCTTGGGCACGCACGCACACGCGCCCGGCGTGAGTTTTAAGCCACCGGGTCCGGGACGCGAACCGCGGTCGACTACGTGGGAGTCCAGCGACATAGCCATTACGCTAACTGCTGGTTCCCAGGACCAAAATTTGAACTCTGTTGGCCATTTGTGATCCAACTCCCTTAGCCACCAGGAAATCAGGCTGGCCCAAAGATAATAATGACAGCATAAATAAACAAGGAAGTTACAAAGCTCAGTGAGCTATTTTATCTTACTATTTTTTAATAATTATTTTATTTATTCATTCATTCATTTTAGTTTGACCAGAGAGAGACACACAGAGAAAGAGAGAGACAGAAAACAAGCTACCTGGTCCAGGACTCAAAACAGTGGTCGGCCATGTGGGAGTGTTCAGCACCTTAACCACCACGCCACCTGCTGATCCCTATCTTACTTTTTTTTTTTTTTTTCCTATCTTATTTTAACAATGAGATTTGAGGGCCAGCAGGTGGCGTGATGGTTAAAGGCACTGAACTCCCACATGACTGACCACGGTTCAGGTCCCAGATCTGGTGGGTTGTGTCTCACTCCCCACTGCCCCCTGTCTCTCTATGATCAAACTAGAAAATGATAATAATAAAGTTAAATAAAATATTTCTTTTTAAAAAATGAGATTTGAGGACCAGCAGTTAGCATAATGGCTATGTTGCTGGACTCTCATGTAGTCGGCTGGGGTTCAAGTCCCGTACCTGGTGGCTTAAACTCACACCGGGTGCATGTGTGTGCATGCCCAAGATCCTGAGAGGAGAATAGAGGAGAAGGGATTGCGGCATGGCCACACCCCCCCGGGGGGTGTTTTCTCACCTTCTGTCTCTCTGTCTCTCTCTCTTTCTGGCGAGTGCACGTGCCCTATAGCAAAAAAACCTCTCTCTCTCAAAAAAAAAATGAGATTTGGGGGACAGCAGGTGGCATGGTGGTTAAGGGCACTGGACTCCCACATAGCCGACCATGGTTCAAGTCCTGGACCTGGTGACTTGCTTTCTCACTTTCCCTCTCTCTCTCACTCTGTCCATCTCTGGTCAAATTTAAATACATACATACATATATAAAACAAAGTTCAATAAAAAAAATTTTAAATGAGATTTGAAGCATCTGGATATTAGAGACTGCCCTTTATTCTTAAAATATCTTTACTAGAATCTGTTGTAACACTCAGTATGTAAGAAGTGCTTAACAGTTACCTTTAATTTACTTTATTGTGTACTTCAGTAACTATCATCAATCTTTTTTTATTTAGATCTGCTGATTTGGGTCCTACGTTATTGACAAGGCCTGGACAACCAACACTTACCAGAGTGCCCCCACCTATCCTTCCAAGGCCATCACAGCAGACAGGAAGTAGCAGTATGAACACTTTCAGACCTGCGTACAATTCATTTTCTTCTGGATATGGTGCCTATGGAAATTCATTTTATGGAAGCTATAGCCCTTATAGTTATGGATATAATGGGTTGGGTTATAACCGCATCCGTATAGATGATCTTCCACCCAGTAGGTTTGTGCAGCAAGCTGAAGAAAGCAGCAGAGGTGCATTTCAGTCCATTGAAAGCATTGTGCATGCGTTTGCTTCTGTCAGTATGATGATGGATGCCACCTTTTCCGCTGTCTATAACAGCTTCAGGGCTGTATTAGATGTAGCAAATCACTTTTCTCGGTTAAAAATACACTTTACAAAGGTTTTTTCAGCTTTTGCATTAGTTAGGACTATAAGATTTCTTTACAGACGGTTACAGTGGATGATGGGTTTAAGAAGAGGCTCTGAAAATGAGGACTTGTGGGCAGAAAGTGAAGGAACTGTGGCATGTCTTGGTGCTGAAGACCGCGCAGCTAACTCAGCAAAGTCCTGGCCAATATTCTTGTTCTTTGCTGTTGTACTTGGTGGCCCCTACCTCATCTGGAAACTGCTGTCTACACACAGTGATGAAGTAACAGGTGAGAGTAAGGGAACAGGATCAGACACCATATAACAATCTTACATTTCAAAGCAGATTTGTTAAATTGTCATTCTTTGTATTTGTCTATATTCACTATTGGATCCAGTTCTATTAAGATTTTCAGTTAAGAGCTTCAAAATTGAAAGGGGAATATATAACAAAAACAGGCTTGCTGGTTTATTTATTGTTAGTCCAGATTAATAGCATATATTACCTGACTACTGTTTATAAAGTCTTGAACTTGGTGCTCTGGAGGGTACAGAGATACATGAAGCAGAATCCTTACTTTCCTAAAGCTGGAAGGGAGACAATAGATACAACTCATTGTAATAAGGCAGAAAGAATATGGGCAGGAGTAGGACACAGGAGGAGAGCGAAAACATTCCTTGAGCCTTTTTATATGCAAACACTGTGCTAGGTATTTTGTGTATCTTATCTCATTTAATTTTCTCAACAACCCAAAGAGATAAGAATTATCCTCATTTCGGCTAGCAAGTGGTGTACAGGTTAAAGCACTGGATCCCACATGGCCAGCTTCACAGTTCGAGTGCTGGACTTCGCAGCTTGAGAATCACACCAGGCACGTGTATATGTGTGCCCAGCTCCCAGAAGGAGAACAGAAGAGGAGTAGTGGTGGTGAATTCCTCCTAGGGGGTGGTTTCTCACTTTCCTTCTCTCTCTCTCTACCTCTACCTCTCTCCCTCCCTC